ACCAAACGCTTCATTGAGGCAGAAACAGCGGAAGAAAGGCTCCCGTCCGCTCGCCAGTCACGAGATGCAAACCCCAAGCAACCGTGGGATGTCATCCGTCCCACCCCGGCCTCGGTGGCTCAGCCTGGCAAGATCCGGGCAGATGCTGCCTAACCCAACACTGCACAGGAAACCCTGGGCAAAGGAAGAAGGGGAGAAAGGGACTGCGATTTGAAGAGCAGTACAAATACCACTATTTGCAGATGACATAACCCTTCGTACAGAAACTCCCAGAGACCCCTCCCGCCCACCCCCAAGTTGCTGGATCTAACAGAAGAATTCAGCAAAGTGTTGGCCGGCCGGCATGTAAGACACACACACACACACACACACACACACACACGCCAGCTACCAGACGGCTCTTTCCCATCATGGACCACACACCTGCTCACTCTTCAAGGGCGGCCAGCGCTCTGCTATGAGAGTTTCATCCACCTCAACCCCTTCAGACGATCTCCCCCCACAAACTCATACAATACTGAGAAAGAACATGATGGGCCCCTAGAGGCTGCCCACCCAGCCGCGTGGATGGGAGGGCCATCAGAGAGCGTGCATGCCGTCTTGGGGAAGGGAAGGAGGAAGAGTGCACCTGTGAGGACCTTGAGGAAACGGAAATGACCATGGAGATGAACCAACACGCACACGAATCGCCAGTGTAAAAGCGGTCCTTTGCTCTGCGGACCTTCACCCCGTTCACAACAAAAACGAGAAAAATAAAGAAACCGGGTGGTAACAAAACCAGCTTTGAGTGTGGAGGGGTGCTGACAACTATTGCTGCCTCTGATCTCCCTTAGCCGACCAAGCCCCTGCGGTGGACCCAGGAGGGGGTGGCCCGAGCTCCTTCCGCGCTGGGTGAGGGGTGGGCTGTCTTGTGGCGGCAGGAAGGCCCCTCCCTCCAGGAGCTTCAGCTCCACATAGCAGGAGAAAGCTGGATCGGGAAATCCCTCACTGGCACACTGCGAACTTGTTAGCTGGGGGTGTATGGGACTGGGAGGGCTTCAGGCGTCTCTGATAGCAAACTGCTCCCTCCTTTTTGGGAAATGCAAAGTCAGGGTGACACAGGAATGCAGCGCTCCCCGGGCTTAGCTGCAACTGCCTTCTGGAGGACCCTTCGCCCAGATGGCTCTCTTCAACTCACTGAAGAAGCATCTTCCCAACCAAACCAAAATTTATCTTGGGGATAAATAGCTTAGAACAACTAGACTCTTGTTAAAATGTCTTAGTTCATACGGGCTCCCCGCCCCCCCACCCCAACTGAGGTCTTGGTGGAGGGCTTGAGTGGCCTGGGGCTGCCAGGTGTTTCAGACCTGCCCACACAGGGAGAGGGCGTGGCCTTCCAGGTGGGGAGGTGCTGTCCCTGGGACCCTGAGTCTGGAAGCAGACCACTTGGAAGAAATTCTCCATGGTGGGGGCCGGGTTACGGCCAGCTCTGGGGGCAGGCGCATCCACCCGGGCTGCCCCTGCCCACTCCCTAGCACAGCTCCTCCTGCCAAGTTGGTTCGACTCCAAGCCTCGGGGCCTCGCCATCACCCAGGTTGCTGGCTATGGTGGAACGTGGGGACTGGTACCGGCCCGGCTCAGAGTGGTGGGTCTCCGTCTTCCCACATCTCCTGAAATTCCACGGCCCCACATGTCGGGAACGAGCACACCTCCGAGTTGCTGGCCCAGTGTGGGTGACATGGGAGGGACATGGAGGGAAGGGCACAGGCAGCCTGGTACCAGCTATTCCGTCTCCCAGTCCATCTCTTCCTGCACGTATGTGTGCGTGCGCGTGTGTGCACACATCTACACATGCACACACCCTGACATGGGGAGAGCTTCAGAAAGTTCATGTATAGGAGAGGGAGGAGTTTGTTGTCAAGAGCCTGAAACCATCTCAGTCCAAAAATCTCTTACACACACACACACACACACACACACACACACACACACACACACACACACACACAATCTTGGTGACACACCGTGAAGGTACAGACAAGGTGAGCGTGAAGCCCCAGCCTGAGCGCCCCGTGTAGTCTGTTTGGTGTGTGTCCTTCTGGGACACTCAGCTCGTGGGTTCCTGTGCCCCCTCCCCGGGTTCTGCGGGCTGCCCCTGCCGCCTAGACTCCTGAGCAACGCCTCCTCCACCTGTACGTGTTTCCAAGGGGAGGGTTGAGTGGGGGCCCGTGCAGTGTTTGCAGAGCAGAGTGTTTACAAAGCACTCACGGCAAATCCGCCCTTCCCGCTTTCCCTCTCCACAGGGGTGGGGCCCACAGAGGGCACTTTCTTGGGGTTCATGATGGAGAACCCAGAAGTCCTTCAGGGAGTGGGGGAAGTAGGCAGAATCCACAGGGGAGTCGGGGCTGCAGACGCTGCCCCGCACTGCTGGGCTCAGTGTTTTCTGGGTTGAATGTCAGGAACTGCCCACACCCCCTTCTCTTCCTGACAGACAGGGCGGTTCACAAGCAGGCTTCTGGGTACAGGGGAGCCACGGATTGAAGACTGGCCCACAGCAGTCGGATGCTGGGCCTGAGGCATGTGGAGTGCCAAGGGAAGGACACTTGGGGTGGTTTGGGGGTGGACTTCCTGCTGTGCCACCTCAGGCACCACATGGTCCCCCTCCCCACTCCAGCAGAGCGCAAGCACGGGGGCCGAGGAAGCTCCGGGCTCACACCACTCCACGCCCCCTAGCTGTCTTCCAGCTTCCTTTCTGCATGGACCAGGGGCCGTGTTGGAGCTGCTGTGAGTTCTGGGCTGGGGGCCGGGCAGCATGTCCCCAGCAGGCGTCACAGTCACTAAAAAGGCTAAATGCCTTCAGGGGGGTCTGGTCCCCCAGGTTTCCCAGGCCCTCCATGGTCTACATCAGGGACCGAGAAGGAAGCAGAGGCTTTGCCCCTCTGCTCCGGGTTCCTAATCACCTTCCAGACCAAAGCACCCACCCCGGTCCTTGCAAGCACTTGGGCTCCCTCCCTGGGGAGGTGCTCCACCTGCCCGCCCTGGAGACACCAAGGGTCCTGGGGCGCTGTGGCCTCTGCCCGCAGCAGCGCCTGGGCCCTGCACCCGGTGGCCCAGCACGCCGGTCTCCGGTGATGCTGCACAAGCACAGGGCACGGGATTGATTCTCCAGTGGGAAAAGGCCGACTGCGGCCCGGAGTGCACACAGCACAGCTCGGAGGAGCAGGGCCCGAGGCCACACCTCCAAGGGGGCCCAGCGCAGAGCAGCCCACCTTCTCCAGAACTGCCTGCCCAGACCTCGCCGAGCCGCCGGGAGCACCAAATGTGAGGCTGTGCGTGACACGCTTTGAAAATCAGACAGCAAACCCACCTCCCCACTGCTGCCAAGTCCACTGCAGGTCGTGGCGACCCCACGTGGGGCTTCCGAGGCTTCAGTCTTTTCAGGGGTGGCTGGTGGGCTTGACCCGTGGACCTCATGGTTACCAGCCCAATACCAATGACACTGCCACGGGGTGTGCTGTATAAATTCTATCCGTAACCTAACCAGGACAGCTCCACAGGAGGACCAAACAGCACCCACAGGGCAGGGGCTCGGAGCCGGGAGCCTGTGGGCCCCTGGAGAATGTAAGTGGCTACAGTCAGAGGTCTGCCTCAGTGCTTACAAGAACCTAGTACAATAGCCTCGCGCCCAGGTCGCCTGCAATAGCACTGATGGTGCTCCTCATGGGGTGCCACGAAGCTGCTTCCATGGAGGGAGGGGAC